AGAGCCGCCACTTGCTTTTGCTCACTTCTCTGGAGGGAGGGTGGGCTGTTAGAACTCAAGTTCGTTGTCGACTTTGTATGGAGGAAAGAAGATCAAAGATGAACTAATGAAGGTAAGGCCCTTTTAGGGGGTCTTACCATTCTTCTCGTATTCCCTTTTGTATTTTTTCCACTGTTTCCTGATGTCAAATAATTTGACAGTCCCAAAATGGGGGACCCTGAAATCACCCTATAACCCCTTCAGCCCGCACAGCAAACAGAGGGGGTGAAGCTTCGGTTCCGGAGAGGCTATGACATTCTGGTAATCAAACAATTTCAAAAGCGTTCGGACGTGTGAGGAATTCTTACCTGAAAGGGTAGGCGGCCATGTCACAAACAACTTGTGCGATTACTGGAGTTGTGCAAAAAAGGAGCTCAGACGCGTAGTAGAAAAGAGGGATCAATTCTTGGGACAGTGCTGGACATCCACGGAACATCACCTCAGATTATGAATCCATGGGGCTCAATCTCTTTCTTGAAAATGGATAGCCCTTGGAGGAACCACCAGGAATAACCCAGAGCGAAAGCTAGGTAAACCAATTTGTTGTAGCCCTTGTTCTTAGTAGTTTCTTGTTCCTAGTAGTAAGGCCAGGAGCTACTAGTAGTGTCCTTGCTCCTAGTAGCCAGTGGGCTGAGGGTACTGCCCAGGTCCTCAGCTCTCCAGATTCGATGACCTCCAACCTAGTAGGAATGGCCTCCAACCTATTGGCTTCCACATTGAGATCCTTTAAAAAGCCTTGAAGGAACCCAATAGCGTTGGCCTCCAACCAATTAAAGATAATCTTACATATTGTGCTGCACCTTTTCTTTGTTGTGTGTGTATGTGTGAGGCAGGGCGATACCTCCATTCAACAGTGACTGCTTGTCTTCAAGAGTGCTAGCTTATTGTTCTTTTCCGTCAATAATGAGGGTCTGACATATGACATATGGCAACTCTAGAGCTAAGGGCCTGGAGAAAAAGAGGAAGAAAAACAGCTAGTTCTTGTACCAAAGCTACCCCAGATAGGCTGTTTGTATTTGACAAGATGAAGTGTTTATTGTATAACCCTATATGAGTAAGGGACAAAATCATAGGCAGTGAAGAGCCAACACCTGCGCGAAACCTGCAGAACCGCTGCCAGTAAACGCTTTTGAGACTCCCAAACTCTGTAGTCCTTGGATCAATTCTGTCCGGTACTCAGCATATATCTCAGAAATGATAGGAAGGAGCTTAGCAATGGACAATGGATCCACTAGGCCGGAAAGCTACTCGCCAGGTGGGGTACCACCACCCCAGTCAGACCATGGGGTAGAGATTGAATCCTTCCAGCTTCAACATTTGCTGTAAGTTTGGGGGTTGGATCATTTTTGAGCTCTTCACATAGCGACAGCACGCAAGCCCCTGCGGCCCTTGTGAGTCAACAACCATGGTGAGCTGATGAGAGTAAGCATGGTTGGTTTGCATTATAAGGTACTCCGACAAACGGACACCTAGTGAGAGCCACACATACACAGCATTTGGTTGAGTGACTGATAGATAGTACTTGAAGATTCGAAAGCAGAGATGGAAACAGTTGTCTCAGCCAGGTGAGGAGGGCGCAGAGAAAGGTGTCAAGAAGCTGCGGGCGGAGGTGACCTGTGATGGGAAGGATATGGCCCAACCCTGAAAACCCCTAAGATGTGGAGTCAGCACGCGAGTCATGCGAGACTTTGCTTATAGAGTGAGCTATTTGTGGTTGTCGAACACACAACTTCTTCATTGCGGGAGAGACGACATTCAGGGTTACTGTATGATACTTGTATCCAGGTGGGCATTTATGGTGATTTTGCGGAAGCAAGAAGCTTTTCCAGTCCAAAAGAAAGAGAGAGAGAGAGAGAGAGACCCAGGCGGGCAGGCAGGCAGGCAGACAGACAGACAGACCGATGCCAGATACTGCAGATAACGAAGCTGCTTGGTCATTAAATTAATCCAGTGTCACAGCACACTTGTGCCATCCACATGTGGTCCTTCCAGTTTCAAGACAAAACACCATTCCTTGCCATTCACACTATATAGGCTACCTCACAATCCAGGCTTCATTCTTTCAATATCACCCTAGGCCTTCGCCATACTTCAGGTCAGTAAGGAGCTGGGCGCAGTCCCACTGCCAAAGCTCAACGAGGCAGCTTCGGGCTTCGCCTGGGGCCGTGTGCCCAAGGACTGAAGCCACGGCACTGATGCTCGAGGCCCTTTGGTCCTTTGAACATGTTGTGAAATGTCCAAATCTCAACAGACTTCGTCTCTACTCTCAGTGGCACACCTTCATATGTCCTGGTGAAGGTCTCACTCTCGTTTCGCTTTATGCTCAGCTGCTCAGGTGATGAAATTCAGTGCAGTCATATTTGGCCTTGCGTTTCTGCTCACCCTGAACACTGCGTTTTCCCTACAGTATGTGCCACGAGTCAACATTCTGGACAACCATCACGTTCAGCATAAGCAGGGGTAATTCTTCGCAGGAGGAAACTGAAGCGCCTCGACGTATTACACTGCGAGCACACCTGGACGCGTGGTAGCAGGTTGCTAAGTGCCACGGGTCCGTGGATAATCATGGAACATTTTATGGTTACAGTATTGTATGTAGAATGTAGGTAGACACTCAGTAGACAATGGTTCAACGATGATGCCCCCAAGAAGTGCCCCAACAGGTTCTTCCAAATGTGTGCTTCACCTTGGCCAAGACATGTCAAAATTCGGTCCTATGATCACTGGAAGTTGTGCCTCCCCCAGCAAAACGACTCTATGGCATTGTGGTGTTTGGTTTTTGTCTTGGTCTTTTGGAGAAACCGTGAACACCAGGACTGCCAGAGATCAGCACGTGCTTGCTAAGGAAGCTGGCGCTGGCATCGATTTGCATGCCTCCTGGTGGGGCATGGTGGTTGCAACTTGAGTGCACTCAAAGCGTCCCACAAGTTGGAATCACGAAACATCAGAGGAGCAATCAAATTGGCCAACCATGTAGAGACTGTAGAGATGGTGCCAGCAAGGTGTGACAAGCAGCCTTGAGCACACAAAGCCCACAGGGGTTGCCTTTTGTACTTTTAGGGCGACGAAGAAGACAACAAGGATTTTATGATCCTATGGGCCTCTAGATGACTTTGTCAAAATCGTGAGATCTCAGGATGGAATCGACCCAGAACCAGGCCAACCAGGCCTACGCGTACGGGATACCCTCGTAGAGGTCAATGGCACTTCCCTCATGGAGCTCACCGACGAGGAGACCGAAGATAGGGGAGAAAGCCAAAGCACTCACAGACTACTAGTAAGGAACCTTGTTACAAGTAGCTTCAAATTTGGAGAGGATAATGTTTCCTTCGAGGTCAAAAGCTACGCTCTGGGGCAGTGGCAACGATTGACATTCCCGAATCAAATTTATGATTCTGCATCAACGAAGTTCGATGAAGTTTAAGCATGCAGAGTTTTTGGTATGTTTTGAGATGTTTGGTGCATATTTATGGTCATACAGTCCAGTTGACGAGTTGAATTTGTGATTTCACAGGATTGTGAGCAAAGATTCGCAGACCTTTTTGGAGATGGCTGTGTGGTGAAAGTCGAACCCTTTGTGCAGGCCGAAAGCAAAACCATGTGAATGGTGAAGCTAGAGACTCAAACAATCACGAGACGTTGGGCTTTTGAACTTTGATTTATATAGGTGCTCCACTGTCTAAACATATAGTTGCTAGTGGTTGTGGGGGACTTTGCCATTGCATACAAGAAATGCTGTGACCAGCAGCACACCTTTAGCGCAGAACCCTTTGGGTTCGCGCCCTGTGGCACCCAACACCTCAGATATCATCCACAAAACTAGACGAATACCCCAGCATTCATGGTTTAAAATGACAGTTAGCTGCAGCTGCGCCATTTATGGCTGCGCAGCTGCGCTTTTGGAGGTCAGCGGCATCTTGGCCCCTCCAGCAGCAGTGGATAAGACGTCCCTGCAGGCTGAAGAAAGTGTGAGGGTGCTTACATATGTAAGACATCGTCTATGGGTTCATGTGTAAACATGGAGGCCTAAAATATATAAGCACCTGAAATTCCTGAGCCACTGGCTTGAAGTATTTCCTCGGAGGAGGTGGTCAACACTCGATGTTGCAAGCTCTTGAAGCAAGATGGTTCCTGCGTAGGAGATTCAAGCTATCAATCCCTGAAGTTGGGGACCTTTTGCTAGGGACCTCCTGGCTTCCTTGTGAAAGCTAGCTTAGTATCCACAGTCTTCAGAACAGAGCTCACATGATTGAACTTCCAGAACGACCTGGAGCGCTTTGCTGCTGACTATGGCATTGAGCTGCGAATGGAGGTCAGAGTGCCGATCTCCTTTTCGCTTGTTGGGCAGCTGCAATCATTGGTGGAAGAACCGGAACAACTTCACATTACAAGCTTTTGTCAAGGATAAACTGCTGTACCTGAACGCTTTAAATTCAAAACTATATATATATATTATATTAGAAAACAAGCTGCCCTGCCCAATGCAACACCCCTTCGATGACCAGGAAGCGTTGAAAGAAATGCCGCAACGTGGACGCACCACCCAAACTGCAAGTCAGCCGCAGCATTGAGCACCAAATGAGAACCAAACCTGTTTAGGGATCATATGCGCACATGAACAGAAGGATCCGAACCTCAATCACTCGGATGCACAAAGTGCCCCAATGCAGGCAGGCACGGTGGAAGCGTAGAGGCAAATTTGAAGGGTGCAAGCAGAACTGTCGACAAGTCCAGCACAGCAGGATGCGACAAGACAAATAACAATCATGATTAGTAATGAATGGTGATAATGGTGGACCTCGCGTCAAAAATTGCGGCGAGAAGTAGAAAGGGATCAACATGTATAGTATAGCAATGATAGCAATGCATGTTCAGCCTTGCCTGAATCACTGCCGTGAAACTGCCGTGCCGGTTTGCTATCGAGATTGTAGCGACCAGTGGAGTTCCAATCGTTCTCAGGACGCAGGTGGCAACAACGTCCGCGTTCACATGGAAGGCGTGGTTTGGAATCAGCTAATCTTGCAAGGGGATCTGTCAACATCCTCAGAAAAAGCAAATTACCTCTGAAGATCTCTGGAACACATGATGTCACACGATGATGGAAGCTGAAGCAGAAGTGACTTGACCTGGTCAGGCTCCCAATCGGCGGTGAAAGGCAGCAAGCCGGAGCTGCAGAATCTCATGCAGTTTTACGCGCAAGCGAGCTAGGCAGACTGGTCTCGAATCCTGGCCTGGTAGGATTAGACTGAAGCCCTTGATAAAGTTGGAGACAGTCTTACTACCTTAGTAGCACAGAGTCCCAACATTATTAGTCGCCCCTTTTGCATATGATTCGCTTGGAAAGCTCGGTGCAGTTACACAGTCGGAGTTAGTTATACCGGACCTTGTGGCTGGACAAGTCTTGCAAGCTGCGAATGTTTGCCGCCGGCATCCAGCGAAGGATGCTTGGTTTTAATGTTTGCTGTATGCCACTGGTGTGGACGTGGCTGCGTTTGCCGGCCCTTGCACAGGAAGTCACACGAGCCAAAGCCACAATCCCTGGCTGATAGGAAGCAATCCTGCGCAGTTTCAACCCTAATTTCTGCGACCGACCTAATTTCTTGCACACAAGACTCGTTTGAACCTACAATACCAAAAGGTAAGACCGCATGAGTTGCCCCATAGTAGTGTAAGAATGCTCCTAGTAGCGATGCCGGGAGCTACTACTAGCGATGCCCTTGCTCCCAGTAGCTTCTTGTCACTAGCACAAAGGTGAGGAGCTACTAGTAGCGTACAAGGCCAACACCTTGTTGGTACAAGAAGGACACTACCATGCTTCCAAGTTCTATGCCGAAAGGATAATTGGTAAGGTGATTGTCAAATTGGAAGGGTGGTGTATGCGCTAGACAAGAATGGGACGCCAGGAAAATAGTGGTCTTTGTTTCAGCTATTATATATTTGGCAGAAGTGTGTTTATGTGCATGTCTCTATTACTGTATAGGGTTTATGCAAGCAGTATTGAGCAACCATACGCACACGGCTAGGGAGGTGCGTCCGGACCAGCTTGGCCTGTCCAAAGGAAAGAAAGAGCAGAGCTGTTCCTTCAGGTGCATTACTTGTCAGGAGCCGGAATTTAATCTTCCAACTCCAGCAAATGGCCGCAGCATGGTGCGTTGTTGAATTCGTTGAAGAGTTAGTTGCGCAGAGAAAAGGAAAACGATCGGGGGTTCCCAACAAGGATCTCTTGACACTCACAAAAACACATCACAAAACCCAGTCAGGTTTCTTGACAAAATGTCGTTATATAACAAGAAATCAAGAAACGGAGGTACAGTTTGCAGGGGCAGCTACAGGAGGCACAAGGGAACTCTGTAATTCCCACAACATGTCCCATTTGTTTCCAACAGCGAGGGTTCTTTCTCACCTCCGCAGAGCTTTCCTTCGATTGAAGAAGCCTTTTTCTTGCCTTCCCGAAGATCGAGCCGTAACACCTAATGTTGGAGACAAACAACGATGGGATACTATTTGCATAAATCATTTAAACCATCAAAGCGTAAGTCCTTTGCTGCGAAGATCGGCTCTTGACATAAAGACTCCAAGGAGGCCTCCACAAAAAAAAATAGAGGCCGACCAAGCTCGACAGAAAAGGAGTTCCTGCAAGTGGTTTCGGGATTGAACGCATATTTGCTATAATGTGCTGCTGGCGTGTAGGAATATAGAAGCTTGAATGTCGTGTACAATGCCACAGCCAGGTGTGCTTGGTGAGCATAGCCGTTCTGGCTTGGAGTATGCATGACCAACAAATGGACCTTATATAACCCATTGCTTTGGATATGACGGACTACCTTCGAATAACTGCTACCCAAAACAGTAGACGGTAGACGGTAGCAGCCACGTCAACGCCTTTGGACGTGCAGGCGACAACTTTAATGATATAACTATTTACTTTGTAGGTAAGTTCAGTGTGAAATAGTGTGAATATGTTCTTGTATAGTTGCAAAATGATGAAAGACAGTCCTTTGCAAGCTCCATGGTACACTAGCTCTTGTTTTATGGATTTCCGAAAATTCCTGTGTCTTGGACCCGTGAAGTACAAGTGCTCACGTTCATGCAAATCTTATGGAGTGACTGTCAGTTTCAATGTGTTTCTTCGCTCAAAATGCTGTCGCAGGTTCTACGGCCAGTCCGGAGGCTTCCCCAAGAGGAGCCAATGGAAGCTGTGCTGCCCAGCTTCGACCTCGAGGGAATTGCACAATACATTGCAGAGAAGAGATGCACGCG